AGTGTTCCCKCTCCTCACCTGAGTACTTGATTCTGTTTTTCCTGCCAGACTGTGGGGACAGGGTCCGACTTTTGAGGACCGTTTTCCCTGAGACCCGATCTTGGCTCCTCTATCCCAGATTCTCACATTCCATGGACAGGATCCCTCTCCTGTTCAGTTGGATATCCTATAACTATGACAGGTGTTTGCTGTCAGTTTGAATAAAATCAGCGTTAGTGACATACAGTACTACCTCCAGTTTGGTTTGGCCTGCTCAGTGCCTTAAATCCTTCTGTCTTRATGAATTCTTTATTGGACAAAATATAGATTTGATGCTTCTGAAGGAAACTTGGCAAAGGGAGCAGGAGATTGGTAACTCATAAACTGAGTTGACATCACACCTGTTTTAGCTTCTTTTCACTGGCTCCCAGTTCAATTGAAAAATTTAAAATTCTGGTTTTTAACGTTTCYACCTTTCTTGCTTTTATTGTGAAGCACTTTGTGATTTTAGATCTATGAAAGGTGCTATATAAATAAACTTTACTTACTTACTGACCTAGGCTTGCCCACTTCAACTTGCAATAGGATAACATACAGATTGCTAAGCTTGGACCTCCCTGTACACTTATGACTGCACACCAGCACATCCTACAAAATGTCATCAATAAAATCTGAAGATGACACAACAGTAGTGGGACTGGGTCTCATATCAGGAGGATGAGGTGGTGTATTGGAACAAGAGACTGGTGATCAGATAACAGCTCAACTCTAAATACAAAGAAAACAAAGAAAATCATCATTGATTTCAGAAAACAAGGCAATTACTCCGCACCACTCTTCACAAAGAATGAATGTGTGAAGAATCAAAAGCTTTAGGTTCTTTGGGATCTATATATCTGACACTATAACTGTTGTTAAGAAGGCCCAACAATGTCTGCATTTCCTCGGGCTGCTGAGAAGGACTGGAAGAGACCACCACCAGGTGCTACATCAGCAGAGCATTAACTGTCCATTAAGAGCAATACATGCTTTTAATGGGTTTTAATTCTTTATTTTAATGTTTGAAATTAGGATTATTTTTGATTTCTTTTTGTTGTGTTTTTATGACTTTCTAAATGTATTTACTTAGTATGAGCATTTGAACAGAATAGTTTTTAAAATATTGTATTGTTTTCAACAGTATAATAACAAAATATGGCAGTTTAACTTTTTTGACTGTCTGTTGGCAAAGTCTCATGAAACGTTTTATAGGTCAACCCATGAGTTTCTCTATCATTAATATTAATGACAATTGCTGATGAAAAATTACATTTTGTTACTGATCTTGAAGAAAATGTCATAACTGTGGAACAAAACCATTAAATCACATTATTATCTTGAAGGGAACTTATGCAAAATCCACCTTTTAGCCYTTAAATACATTTTGTTGTGTACTTGTGCCTCTGCAGAAAAGTTAAATTCCATGTCTCCTGGTGCTGCAAWGATATCAAAGGAATGAATATTATAGTGACTTACTGAATAAAAGTAAGGGTGATATGAAAGCAACATTGGAGTAATGAATAGTTTTCTGAAAACCNATCTGAACTCTGTAACATTACATGTGGAGTTCCTCAAGGTACTGTACTTGGACCAAAGTTGTTTATTTTGTATGGGAATGACTTGGTAAATGTGTGAAGCCTTTTTAAATGTGTTCTGTTTGCAGATATGACATTTGTTTAAAAATATAGACAGGATATTGGAAATAATGCAGACAGAATTTGTGAAAATACAAACTTAATTAGCATTACATTTGGATAAAACTAGAAAGAGCTATTGATGTTCAYTTTAGAGTAGATGGTGTTGAGATTTGCAGAGTCAGTGAAGTGGAGTTATTGATGAAAAGATATGTAAACCTCATAAATTAACAAAAATAGCTAAATCTATTGCATTATTGTACAAAGTATGGGAGTTATTTGCTGATAAAGCTCTGTATATAATTTTATAATGCAGTAATTGTTCCACATTTAATCTATTGTATTGAAGTCTGGGGGAAGCATGTAAAACAATTACAAATACTATTCTTGTTTTACAGAAAAGAGTTATCATTAGAAAACATTTTGGTCACCCATCAAATATATTATTTTATCAATTGAAATTATTGAATTGTATGATTGTGTCATGGTTTTATTTAGGCTTCTGAACCACATGCAAGGACTCTCTCACAAGAATGAAATCAGTAAAATCAGATTTATTTACAAATAAATGGTAAATGTGCAAGGTGGGGTTTCCAGGGGGTTAGATGATGAACAGGAGAACTGCAACAGAGAAGATGGAGGGTTGCTGGGATTAACATTGTTCTCACAGTGATGAGGATGAAGCACCGCCAGGGAGGAGTGAGAGGATTCCAGGTTGGTTGGTTTGTGTGAAGTGGAGATCTGCAGGGAGGTGGTASTTAGGAAGAGAGGGGGCTTCCCCGGATGGTGGAGGCTGCAGGACTGTAGGAAGGCAGACAGGCAGTACAAGAGAGCCTTAGGGTTACCAGTCATGGAGTTCTGAGGTCCAAAGGTCTTGATTGGTTTGGTCAGGTTAGACTGGTCCAGGAAGGATTCCGAGAAGACAACGGCAAACACAGGAAACCRTTGAGGAGGGAGAGAGCAAAGGATTACTTGAGACTGAGCACAAGGAAGATCTAAAGAGACAAAACTGTAAGGCTTGGAGTTACCACAATGGTTAACACTCAGGCATRGAATGACTGCTAACCAACTCCTTTAAACAGGGTGAGATTAGGCTGAAGAGCTGCAGCTGCACAGCTGCTGAAGATGAGCCCACAGTCCTACATCAATTCTTCTTGGCTCCCTCTGGTGGACTCCTGTGAGAATAGATGGTGCACACAACACAACTCTATGGAGGACCGAAACTGACATAATTAGAAATAAAWGCAGAATTATATAAATGAACCACTAAATAAGTACATTTGAAATGCACCAATTAAAATAACAAAGGAGAACTTTATCTCATGTTTTTTTGTTTGAAATGACTTTAATATTTATTTTTCCAGGTTAGTATAAATTAGTGTATATATTTTAACACATAATTTAAACTTGAATTTTTTTAAAATACATATTTTTTGTTTTTCCTTTTACTTCTACATGCATTTTTGTCTCTTAAATGTTTATACTTAATTATTTTTATATTTTTCCCACAAGTCTTTTTTATTTCGATGTGTTGCAGGCGTGTGCTGCCTCAGTTTAGCTTAAAGTTTAGTTTAAAGCAAAAGCATGGAGAAAAACTTACCCATGCCTTTGTTTGTCACTAAACTTTAACCTAAAC